TAGGCGTCCATAAAACTCATCAAGGCATGGCCGGCTGTTGAGTCGACCAGGTTATCAATTTTGGGCAGAGGGTAACTGTCTTTGGGGCACGCCTTGTTCAAGTCTGTGTAGTCTACACACATTCGCCAGGTGCCATTCGGCTTTTTAACAAGTACCACATTTGCAACCCAATCTGGGAAGTAACATTGCCGAATGAACCCTGCATCAAGTAATTTTTTGACTTCGGCGGCGGCCGCCTGACCTCTTTCTTCACCATGGTTCCGCTTCTTTTGCCGTACCGGCTTCTTTTTTGGATCCACAGCGAGTTTGTGTACTGCCAGATCAGGACTAATGCCTGGCATTTCATGGACTTCAAATGCAAAGATGTCCTTGTATTCTTTCAACAGGTTGTGAAAGTCATCACCAAGGTTTCTCAGAGCAGTCGTCCCAACTTTGACTGTTCGGTCAGGGCAGGAGTCGTCTAATATCAGGTCTGTATGCTCACCAGCCGGCTGAGGGCGGAACTCATCCGGCCGGTCCTCTGCCAATGATTGCTATTTTCTTGCCTTTCTGGCGGACTCTGTCTGGGACGCCTTTCTTTTTCTGTCGCCTGTTTCTTGAACAGGCGCACTTTCCTTGACATTGTCAAGGTCTGTTTTTTCTCCACTTGACCCAGTGGCCTTAGCAGTGGGTTTGACATCCGAGAGATAGCACTCTCGGGCCATCCTCTGATCTCCCCTTAGGGAGCCGACTGTTCCATTGTCCCTTTCAAATTTAAGCAGCATAAGTGACGGGATTATAACAGCCTTGGCACTATTCAGGGTTGGGCGACCCAGAATCATGTTGTAGGCAGAGAGTTCCTCTACAACTAGGAATCGGACTACCATGTGTCGTCCTTCCCCTTTTTCGCCCAGGCGGACGGGTAGATCAACTCGTCCCAGTGGGTGGACGACTCCTCCTCCAAACCCTATTAAAGGGTGGGAGGCCGGATGTATGCAGTCCGTCTGATATTTCAGTTTTGACAGACATTTGCTGCTGATGAGATCTGAAGAGCTCCCAGTATCTATGAGGATTCGACCAACTCTCTGGTTGGCCACTTTACATTCAATAACGAGAGGGTCGTCATGCGGCCCCCTTATTCCTCCTAGATCCTCTTCAGTGATGACAATCTCAGGAAATGTATATTTGGACGGTCGTTCTTGGTGAACGGAATTTACATCTAACCGCCTTATATTATCTTTGTTGCCCCTAATAGTGGGGCCGCCTCCTGAGAAGCCGCCTGCAATGGTGTAGACGACTGCATCATCTGTATCGGAACTGTCGGCCTGTTGATTCTTTTTGGCCGACTGCTTTTTTGAGGAAGTATTCCCCGTAGATTTCTTGACATAAGTGTCAAGATCACCTTGATCAGCCAAGCGGTCTAGGTACCGCATGAGACTAATGCAGTCGTTGGTGTGATGACCAACGTCATCATGATAAGCACAGATTTTGTCTTGGTTCCGGTTGCTCGCAGAACCCTTCATGGGGAGCGGTTTCTCAATTGAGAGCCGTCCCTTTATTTCTTTTAGGATAAACTGGTTATCCTTGTTAAACACATACTTTGGGGAGTATGGTTTGAATTCCTTTTTCTTCTTGGCCGGCTGTTTAGAGGAATCAGCCGCCCAGACCCCTTTTCTTTTATCTTTGTTGGACGACTGTTTCTGTCGTCCTTCTCTATTGTCGAACCTCTTTCCGTCCGACTGTTTCATTGTACACAGATCAGTCGCCTGTATATAGGCTTCTGCTTCAATCAAGGCCTCTTGAAGAGTCGCCACCCTTTTTCGAACTAAATCAAATTTGAAGGTAGACCCGTCTTTGAGACCTCTAAAAAAGTCAGTATAAGCTACCTCATCCGGTAACCCTTGAATCTGTATTCTCATCAGGTTGAACCGCCTGATGTAGGAACGAAGCCCCTCCTTTTCACCCTGCTGAATTGTTCCCAAATCAAGGGTCGTTTTCTTCGCAGGGATGTTCATTGCAAAGTTGGAGGCAAATAAGTAAGCAAGCGTCCTGAAACTGTTTACACAACCAGTCGGCAGGTTGCCGAACCATTGCTGTGCAATTCCCTTGAGAGTTGCTGGGAAACACTTGCACCAAGTGGGATCATCCAACCCTTGAAGGTACATCAGGTTGGTGAATGCCATCAGATGGTCTTCCGGGTTAGTAGTGCCATCATAGGCGCCTACTAAAACATTTTTTACTTTGGCCGGCTGAGCGGCTTCAGTAATTTCCTTGGAGAAGGCCGACGGCTGTTCACCAAGTCTAAGCAGCCGTAGCTGCCAGTCCATAGGTTGGACGTTTTTTGCTGCAGGTCCACCAAATGGAGGTGGCTGCATAAAATATTGTTGTTGCGGCACAAATGGCAAATTTGGTACCGCCTGCGCACTATGAAAGCCAGACTGTCGGGAGGTGCCGCCTGACTGACTCTCATGGTACGACTGAGTTGGCCTCATCGAGGCATTTCGCAAACTGTCCTGAAAATTTGAAGTAGAAGCCGACTCTGATAATCGGTCACTCCTCTTCTGCTCTAGCAGGTGCCGAGCATCTGTGAACGTTTGCTTTGACCCGTCCGCCTGAATATGACGAACCGGTTTCCTATTTCCCGTAGGATAACGGAGTTTTGTGAAATCAAGAGCAGACGGCTCCCGCTTCTTAGATTTAGGATGGGGAGTCGCTTCTCGCCCTTGAACTGGCTTCCTCTTCAGTGAAGTGGAAGGTTTTTTGGCCGCCTGCTCTTTGACTGAAGCAGGCGGTTTTTTGTTGATCAACTCTTGGATCTCTCCCTTGAATCCCCTCATGAAGGTCATGAGTTCGTTCCTTGTGATCGGAGCAGACCCATCAGTCGGCTGTTGCCGAGCAAGCGGTGCGCCTGCTGGCTCCCTTCCTGTTTGAAGATACTCCCGTTCCCTTATTTCAGTATGACGGGTACGGCGGGCCCTTAGGGTCCCGTCTGGAGCTGTATGAGTTTCAACTTCAAATTCACTTTCGGTATCATGGTCCGACTGAACTTGAGGGTCGTCTAGGGGACGCCTCTCTTCTGGAGTCGGTACAGACTTGGATGCCATCTCTGAAGTACTCTCCCCACAGACGGCGCCAAATGTTTCGGGGTTTTCTGATGTCCTGCGGGAGAGTTACAATTCCGAGACTGGAACCGGACGCCTGTACCTGCAAAATAACGGAGACTCCTGAGAGCTCCGCCTCCAACGGTCAAGTTAGTACCTGATTAAGGAGTAATTAATACAGAAATTAAAGTAATAAGGTCTCTCTAGGTGAGAGTATTTAATGTAGGTAATCTGCTTTGCTAGCGAGATCAGCCGGTTATTAGTGTGTTCCGTAATGTATTCGGTCCCTGATTAATGAGGATTAATCGAGTATTTATAGCCTTGGGAAGCGTGCAACTCTCTAGGTTTAAGGTAAACCTAGGGCCGATCGGGCTTCTAGACTGAAATGGGCCTTGATGGCCGGTTGTCCCATTTGGCATGGGTGGACACGTGGCGTGTCTTAAGTGGTCCGTGGAGGACGCGTGGCGGAACCTGGTTGGTCCACTTGTCAAACGGTGCTTGGTGGATAAAAATCCCCTAATCAAGTATGATTTTAAATCTACAGTCTACACAGCTACACTCTACGGAGTACTCCCTTTGTCCCTTATTGTTTGCACCATTTGACTCAAAAAAACTCTCACATACAGTGGGTTCATGATGCAAACAAAAGGGGGTTGAGAGAGTATTTTATAATAATTGACACATTTGAACTTTTTTCACTATTTATATACTAAGTTTAACTATAGTTTTTAATTAATGTAGTAAAAACAATTAGTTTCATATAAAATATTTTTAAGTAGATATTAATGTGAAGTTTAGCTACATTGACTTTTTGATAATATTTATAATGTTTAATTATATAAATTAATGGTTAAACTCATGCATGCATTGCATATGTGTCGAATTTAATTGTTTCAATTATTATAGAACGAATGCAGTATGATTTTTATGGTATATTGAAATATTATTTGCTTAACATCTCTTAAAGTGATACCTAGAGCAATTCAGTGTGAGACAAGTGTTAATTTTAATTCATGAATTTTTCCCCATTTGCAATCTCAAAGACAAAATTTTTATATTTCCTTCACTATTGAGATTTGAGAAGGGGCTCTTGATGTTGTTGGGTTATAAGTGGTTTTATGAGCAAATTAAATTAGTTATTAAAAAGTTATTTATCAAACACTACCTAAAAAAAAATTATACAGTATACTGGTATTTTTCATACTTGACAAGGTATAATTTTATGCTTTGATATCTAAGAATACATATAGAACAAAAAATCGCACATGCATGACTATAATTTTTCTTAGTGTGCTAAAATCTATTGTGTTAACTATTAACATCATCTGAAAAAGAAATTAGTGTACACATTTTTCATCCTTAAATCACATAACCAAAAGGTATTAATCCGCATAAAGTCTATCAAAATGCTAGTAACCTTACGTTTTTACGGGTAAAGTTGCATACATTTGACACTCATCTTCTTTTTTCCACGCACAACGATGCGCATCAAACAGGGCTTTCTTTAAAGACAGAGGTGTAAAACAGTCTCTTTCTTTAAATATATCGGTGTAATGTTGTTGTTACATGAATCAGATTGGATCGAACTAGCTTCACATGTATAACAAAGGTAGCTAGACATGAATAAAACCAACCAAATTAAATCAAAGTAAGAATGCAGGTTTATTTACATCTGTCATATCCTTGGATTTATTCCTCCCTTGAATGGAAAAAAAAAAAAATTACATCTGTCATATGATCCATTGTGGTACGCATTTATTCCTGGTCTTTGAAGTAATTAACGTCATTTCCAATGTTTTTCAATTTTCAATTTGCATGCAATTAAACTACTCCATTAACAACAAATCACAATGATATGCAAAATCAGTTAGACATTAAATCACTTTTGATCATATTTATGATAAATGGTACTCCGTAGATTATTAATTTGTACTTAAAAGTTAATTAATCACTCTCTATGCATTGAAAATTAGTTAATGGCACTTAATTTTACATACTCTACAACCTTTTTTTTTTTTTTTTTTTTTTTTGAGGACTTATACAGAGCATTTGGGTAGCATTTCAAAGACTACCAATTAAAAATCAACTGTCAATTTCTTCTCTGTACACAATTGCATGCATTTTTAGTGGGCATAAACTTGTGCATTCTTTGTATGTACCATTTTACCATATCATTTCGCGAAACTTGATTTGCATTAATAAATATATTACCCGTTTTTCCGCATCACTCTCAAAATATACTTGTTGCACCCCTATATTCCTATAACATGGAAATCCATGTTGTATTGATAGGAGTTTACACAACATATATGCAAAAATACCAGAACATGTTTTAGTCCAAAAAAAGAACAGTTTTTGTAGAAAATGGAATTGGAGCAGCAAAACAATACACTTAGCAATGAGAATTTTACTACAAGTAGAGTATGGGAAGAATTGAAGGAGTTGTGGAAATTAGCAGGGCCTACGATTATAACGGCAGTCTCGCAGTACTCGTTAGAGTTCGTAACGGCGGCGTACGCTGGGCATTTGGGCACCCTTGAGCTTGCAGCTGTGTCTATCGTTCAGAATGTTATTAAAGGTTTTGTCTACGGCCTCATGGTACGTAATTTTTTTTTTATTTAGTTACAACGGGTTTTATATAGGACTATTATTTGTGGACAAAGATGAGTATGACGTTACTTTTTTTTGGTACTGGTTGTAATACTACATGTTCATTGTGAATTTTGTTTTAATTTCTTGTGTTTTGGATAGGTGGGTCTTGATAAAGTTTTAATTTTTCGTTTAATTGGATTGGATTGGATTGAATGTTTGGATTCGAAGTGAAATTCAACATTTTTGGTTTTTCGGACTAGATTGAGACTCAATTCTTTACATACAAGTGAAAGTTCAAGCTTGTGTGAGTTGTGTCTATGTCAAGTTGCATTGATATTTACTTATCCAATGTCAATGAGATGGAGAAATGACTTCTTTTTTCAGTATATTTGGCAAATTTAATTCTGATTTGTGGGTTTTTTATTGGGTATAAAAGGGAATTGTAACAAAAAATCTTGATTATTTAAAAATTAATTTTTATAAGTTTTGAATTAAGTTGTTGAATATTGAATTAAAGACAATTTTGAGCATTTGTGTTGTTAATTTTGTAGTAGCTTGGGATGGGGAGTGCTCTAGAGACATTATGTGGACAAGCAGTAGGCGCAGGACAGTTCAATATGCTTGGAATTTACATGCAAAGATCATGGATTATTACTCTAACTACTGCCCTGCTTCTAACACCAGTATACATCTTTACTTCGCCGATACTAAAGCTCCTTCGACAAGACAAACATATTTCGGAACTTGCAGGAAAATACGCGTTGTGGTCTATTCCTCAAATGTTTGGATATGCCTTAAACTTCCCTATTCAGAAGTTCCTCCAATCTCAGAGTAAAGTCAGGGTGACAACGATTATGTCGTTATCTGTTTTGGGAGTACATGCATTGTTGAATTGGGTTGTAGTAATGAAGTTTTCACATGGGTTGTTAGGTGCTGCAATGGTTGGGAATCTGTCTTGGTTTCTCCTCATTTTTGGGCAGCTTATCTATATTATGTCAGGATTTTTCCCTGATTCTTGGACTGGTTTTTCGTTGTTGGCTTTCTCTTTGAAGGGTTTCATTAAGCTCACACTAGCCTCGGCTATAATGCTATGGTAATTGATGGTTGTTTTACCTATTTGAACGCGTTTTGGAGCCTCTTTTCTTTCTAATGATTTCTGAATATGTTATTGATTTGGCAGCTTGGAGCTGTGGTATTTCACAATTATAATCCTCATGGTGGGGTGGTTAAAGGATCCAGAAGTTGCAGTTGATGCCGTTTCAACATGGTAAGAGAAATAGTCATGTCACGTTGCACTTCTATATCTAGCCACTGTATAAAATCTCAATATCAGATTTTAGAAGTTATATTAACTAGCAGTGATACCGTATAGACTTAGAAGCTCACATCCGACTCTAATTGCAGTATGAATTTGGATGTCTGGACTCTAATGATTGCTCTAGGCTTTAATGCAGCAGTCAGGTAAGCATCAATATGATATCTTCACTCTCCACATCTCGCGATTCTGTATTGACAGATCGAAGAACAGAACTTAAATGTTTCATCATGGTTTTGCAGCGTGAGAGTATCTAACGAGTTAGGAGCAGGACACCCCAAGGTTGCTAAATTTGCTGTTCTAATGGCAATTTTGACATCAGCAATAATAGGGACCATTTTCACAGTCATGATCATATCATTGAAGGACCAGTTTCCGAAGTTGTTTTCTGACAAGCCGCCTGTCATATATGAGGCTTCGAAGCTTGGTTATTTACTTGCAGCTACCATCTTTGTTAATAGCATCCAGATAGTTCTTCAAGGTATACTATTGGAGTATTGGAAGTTTTATGTCTTCCTACAATAGAATAACTATCTCAGCATTTTCAGGAATTTAGGATTTTACAAATTGTGCATATTCTCATGAAACTTTGATCTTCAGGTGTTGCAGTTGGGGCCGGATGGCAATCCTTGGTCGCGTTTATAACCACTGGCTGCTACTACTTAGTCGGGCTACCAGTTTGTGTTCTTCTTGGTTACAAATTTAAGCTTGGTGCTCATGGACTTTGGGCAGGATTGCTAATTGGTGTTTTACTTCAAACCGCGATTTTGCTACTCATTGCATGGAGGACTAATTGGAATAAAGAAGTAAGTTTTGATATCTGAGCTTCTTTTCACCCTAAAAAAAAACTCATATAAGGGCTACCCAATTTTTTCACAACTAAAATAAGTTATTGAGTTTATATTATAGCTTACAATGCCTATAAAATTTAATCAGCCAAGATGTGACTATTGTCTAAATGATTATTAGATCCTTCATTTGAACAACGATAAATTCTTTGTTTGTTTATCTTGCAGGCCAATCAAGCGAAGAAACGAATGAGAGCATGGGGTGGCTCTACTGATTCTATGTCAACATAAATAGCTCATTTAGAATAGGTTTAACTCTAGAATTGTAACCCGGAAACTTTTTTCTTATGAAATACAAATAAATACTTCTTATATTACTTAATATCATAATGGTATGTCGCAGAAGCCATCTTATCTCTATTTGCAGCAATAATGGTATGTGCTGCTTAATATCATAAACATTCAAATGAGAAACTCAGATTCTAGCCTAGCAGTTATAGCAGTCAAAATCCAAAGATGTTTCAACTTTCAAGTGTATACAGACCTTATCCGGGGTAGAAGCACCAGATGTTACTCCGATAGTGATTGGTCCTTCTGGTAGCCAATTTTCTTTTTCAACTAGCTCCCCATGCTGAGTAGATAAGCTATGGTGAGTAACAACATATGGATAATATGATATAGCAGAAGGATATGAGGAATAACATTTTGATAATATGATACAACAGTAGAATATCTGTATTCTATACTTACATTCAACTTGTAACTTATTTTGTTTCCAGGGCCTATTCTTGCTTCACTGTCAATCCAATATGATGGGATCCCACGTTCCTCAGCTATTTCTTGCAGATGAGAGGTGTTGCTGGACTTCCAGCCTCCAACCACCAGCATAAGATCAATCTTTTCATCCACCAACTTATACATTGCATCTTGTCGCTCCTAGAGAAAGAAAGAGTAAGTAAACACAATTACACACTAAGAATTTCATAAGAATCTTTGGGAAACTTGGAAGCACATGACAATGCAATGCTAAGTGACACTGTCTCATTATAATGTTGTAGCTTATAAGACGTTTTTTTCAGGTTCTAACAGAAGGGACTGATGGAGGATTAAAAACATTTAGGCCTTTGTCAGAATCACCAACTTTTAGCCAAATCCTGACCAGAGGTGATTTGTGTAGGTGATTTTTGTAATTTATTACAAGATTGTGTATTTGTGTAGGTTTGGAGTTTTTTAAAATTTATGGAATTTTGAAGGTTTGAAGTAAGAAAAAAATATAGAATTGGATGTTATGGAATTTTGTGGGCTTGGAGTGTGCTAAAAAGTAAAATGCGATTGAAAGTTTTAGGAATGAGACTAAGTAGTGCTAGGAACATTTTTGAAGAATTATGTGGGTGGAAGAAAGAGAGATTGTGATGGAAGACACTTGAAGTTTGGAGGTTAGCATAGAGTACATGCCGATACATATAAACTATAATTAAGCTAGCTTACTTTGAGTTTAGTATGTGAAGAGCTAAGAGTTCTCACCAGAAGATATGGTGCGGGAAGTACTCACCAAGTAGGGAGAGACAAGAGCTCACTTTAAGTGGGAGATCCGAGCTATGTGCTTGCACCAAGTATAAGCTGTGTAGATGAGGAGTAACTCACTAACTCTCCTACTATTAAAATTGTTGTTTAATATGTAATCAAATACCCGTAATTCATTACATAAATAAAAAATGAATTATAATTCATGATGATATAAAATTGCTGTAATTTCAGGCGGTCAGCCCCATTATACTTTATGTGTAATTGTGTACCCCAAAATTCTATCCATGTGGCTAAGAATATGCACCTGAAGTTGTTCTGAATATTGATATTTGTACTGATAATAAGTTATTAAACTTTTGAATGGCCCAAGTGTTCTATTGATAAATATTTGCTAAAAAACGACTTATTTGTAGTAGTGTTTAAATGGACCAGTTCATTATCACAAGATGGTACTAGGTTGGGCTCTTTAAACTTTTGTAATGAATTGTTCCAATTTGGATTTATATTTTGTTATTCACATTTTGTCCAAAACTTATTTCGTCATACAGTAAACTTGCATTTTTGCTAGGTGCTGTAAGGGTCAGCTCTTCAACAGTTGAGGCAACTACGGAGAATCTTGATTCCAAAGAGGAAGATGTTGTATTTGTTGCTGGTGCAACTGGTAAAGTTGGCTCACGAACTGTATGGTTAGAAGCCTCAGTCAAAGAAGTCAAAATGATGATTTCTTAGAAGTTGACCTTTTGAACTTGTGGTATGACTGTTTGAGTTTCTAAAGAGTTGATAAATTTCTCTACACAGTGAGTGCTTCTGTGCTACCATGCTAGATTAGGTAGTAGTCCTTTGTCAGTCATTATCTAATGAATGTACATGTGATTACTTTCAGATAGTGAGACCGGGAGGTATGGAAAGGCCTACTGATAGTTTCAAGGAAACTCATAACCTGACCCTTGCACAGGAGGACACTTTATTTGGAGGCTTAGTCTCAAATCTGCAGGTATACTAATTGTACTCCTTGCTATGTGATGTAGCTGTTAGCCCTTCATTCATCAAATTAAATGCTTTATTAGTCTAACATTACCCTAAACTTTTTCATTCAACTGTTAAAGGGTATACTAAATATGTTTTTTCCTTAGATAATCTCAGGCATGTACTTGCTGTTATGATTTTTAAGATGGAGCTTTTCAAGATCTTGTTAGTGATAGTACGAGAAATTTGGATAATGAAACTCTATTAGTTAAGTGCAGGTGGCAGAACTCTTGGCAATTATGGCACAAAACCAAAGTCTTTCTTACTGCAAAATAGTGGAAGTAGTTGCTGAAACAACTGCACCGTTAACTCCTATGACAGATCTCCTTACGAAGATCCCATCTAAACGGGAAGACTTGCAGAAAACAGAGGTAAACAATGCCTCCCCCCTAAGAAAAAGAAATCTGGAATGAGTAATCCTAAGTTCCTAACAACCCATTCGTTGATTCTTCATTTGGGCCTTCACTTAGCAAGTCTACACACTTTTGAGAGAATGAAAGTACGAAACCAAAGTATGAGTTTCTGTTTTTTCAGAGCTCTCATCGGAGATTTCTCTCCGCAATTGCAATCAAGCAACACGGCTATCTTGACCGTGGTTTCCCTGTCTAAATACGAACGCGGTGTTGTTTGACACCGTGTACGCTCGTTATGAGTTCGATTCTAATTGCTATTGTCGTTTGACGTGATATGATGGATTCGAATCCAATTGTTACTCCCAATTGGCGTGACATTAGAAACAAAAATCTAATTGTTACTGCCATTTGGCGCAATATTTTCTACTTAGAGTAGACGATGGGATAAAGCTAAAAACTGTAATTGAAGGATGGGAAAAAGCTAATTGTAATTTTTTTTATTAGATTTGTATTTTATTTGTCTAATATTTTATACGATGTGATGTATTTTTCCAAGTTTTGTTAATATAATTCCATTTCAATATAATTTATGCTTTTAGAATTGGTATATTTCCAATATTATAATCAATTCATGAATTATTATTATGCATAATTTAAATTTAGGAGAGAAATCGGGGAGATAAAAAGAACTCAAACAATGATTAAAATGTGTCTTAATCAAACTTTGAATGCTTTTTCCCTGTAAAGTTTCTTCACTAATTTGTGCAAATTTAGATCCGAATATTCGATTACTGGAGTTATCGGTTTTATTTTGATTCAGATATCCGTATTTTGGTTTGAATTTTTAGTTTGAAAAAAGGTCAACTCTGACGTAAAATTTCGGCTTACTTTACCATATTTTGGTTTGGGCATTTCAGTTTTTAGGTCAGGTTTTGATTTTCAGCTTGTTTGCAAATTCTAATTTCTTTTTTTGACAACCAAATCTCTTAAGACTTAATATAGATACTCAATACTTCTTCTTTACTAATTAATCTTAGACTTTATTTTTGAAGGGTTCTTAGATTTTTTTTTTAAGAGATAATAAATAGTTAAATATGTATACAAAATAAAAAGTACCAGAGATGAGTAATTATTTATTATATATATATATATATATATATATATATATTTTAATGTAAGCGGTCTGTATCTCTAATGAAGATTATTGAAAGCTATTTAATTTTATTTGACTAGTGAATTTGTGGAAGTGAAGTTTACTCATTTTTTATTAAACATATGGGTTAATGTATTATTTTATCAATGTAAATCTAATATATATATAAATAAAGTAGGCATTTTTAGAGAGCATTTAGAGCGCCACATATATAAGCAAAAATATGTTTTCGACCCATTAAAAATTAGATTTTCATTTTATTTTTGAATAAAAAAATTCACTTGCCACCTTGACGAATGAGATTTAAGAATTTTTCCACGTAAGTAAAAACAATGAATAGTGATTTATTAGGATTTAGTTTATTTAAAAAACTAAAAAAATTATCTTTTAGAAAAAAAAATCATCTTTAGATAGGATTTATATATCTACCATGGATAAATTTTGATAGTATTTATGATAAAAAATAAAAATCATTCATCAGTTATAATTAAATTACCATTACAAATTGACGCATCATACGATACCAATAAAATTTCGTATCACTATAAAATCAAATCAAGCGAATTTTGTGTCAGTTTTATTAGGTCATAAATGGCTGGGTAGTTTTTAGCTTAATTTTTTAAATCCATGTTTAAGTATATATTTGTGATTATTGCTTATATTGTGTTTATTTGGGATACTTAATGATTATATGTTTATGTTTTGATTTATTTTATAAGACTATAAAGAATAATTTTGTATAAATTTTATTTGTAACCTATTCTATTTATCCACTTTTATTAAATGGAAGAGATATATATGAGTGTGAACAAAGTTGGTGAATAATTATTTAGAATTTAAATTATTTTTATAAAAAAAATTATTTTTTCACATTAAAGATTTTATCCTAATATAGAATCAATGAAATATCATATTTACAATTTTTTTTTTGAAAAGATATCATATTATTGTCATATGACTAACAACAACGAATAAAATACAAAACAACAATAAATATACTATCAAATGGAAGATAAATAGTATACATGTTTTGTTTATATGTTTATCTATTTCTTTTTAATGTTCTTATCAAAATATTTATTAGGGGAATAAATTACATAAAATTAATAAAAAGTTATCCTTAACAAAATCAATAGAAAACTAATCAAATATATTATGAGTATGATCTAATTACAAAAATTATATTTTGTGTGATTTTATGTATAAAAAACCGTGGGATCTTAGGATTTTAAATCATTACAAAAATAAAGATTATATTATAAAATTAATGGTTCAAATATCTAAGATGTTTTTTCATAAGAAAATTAAAAAAAAAACTTATAATTAACGCAATAAAAAAACTTTACCTCCTTTAAACATTCATGTGAAATTGATGTTTAAAAATTTGAATAGACAAATAATCTCTCAAAGATCAAGATATCTGGAAAAAAAAATATACAAAATGATATATAGATTTGATAGTTTAATGAGTTTAATTTCAAGTGTAAAAGACAACTAATAATAATTTAGAATTTAATTATTTTTATAAGAAAAAAAAATTATATTTTCACATTAAAGATTATATCCTAATATATAATCAATGAAATATCATATTTACAATTTTTTTTTTAAAAAAGATATCATATTATTGTCATATGACTAACAACAACGAATAAAATACAAAACAACAATAAATGTATTCGTATAAAAAATTACATTAAAAAATTATACTATTTTAATAGGCAATAACATATTAATTAAATTATTATGTGATTTTTTTTTAAATTATTAAATAGTAAAATAAATCAAATAATTATAAAAAAAAATAGTGTATATTGGAAAATATCTTTTCTTGAGATTTATGTATGATATATCGTGCATCGCATAGGATTTCATCTAGTATATGGTAAATGAAGTAATTAGGTAACTTAAATAGTAGAGGGAGCTCAAATAGGAAACCTAACAATACAAGTAAGAGAAACAAGGGAGTGTTTGGAATATATAAATTGAGTTATTGACATAAACAAATTAGATCTAAGCATGGTAAAGTGATTGATAATTGTCATCGTTCATCTCATAGTCGTCATATTTTAATTCATGTACTTTTTTAGTGGTTATGTTTTGTTGTCACATATGTCACAAGTTAAAAAGCGTAAATATTAGTAAAAAAGGAGTAATTCCCTCTGTTTTTTTTTTATTTGTATTAGTTTGATCGGCATAATTGTCGAGACGCAATTTTGACCATTAATATCTTTGATTATATATTAGTAAAAATTGTAACAAAATTATATTATGAAACTAAACATTATGACTAATCTAATGATATATTATATTTTAAAATTTATTAATTTATAGAGGTGAAAAATTAAGTCAACCATGATAGGTGAATAGTGCAAAAATCAAAGTGATGCATTTAAACAAAATGGAGGAAATATAAAATATTATATTTATACTCCGTATTTAAGATAAAAGCTAATGAAAGCCTCCATGACGTCAAATAATTAGATAGCTTAAGTGAAAATACTATTAATTTTAAAAAAAAAACATTAATTATTTAACTACAATAATCGTCAGTGTAATTTTGACATATATTTCAGACTTCATGTTATTTTAGGAAATTTATTAATTTGTCATCTAACACTCCGAGTTGCTCGTTTGTATGAAATGCTTTTTATTGATGTCACGTTGTCACCCCTAAAAAACTTGATTAGCAATTTAAAAGTCTCGAAGATGATGGTACGTACTAATTGTGGGCTGGCTGCTTAGTCCTAACGTTTCCAACTATGCTAACACTTTGATCTGGTTGGATATCTACTGTCCTCTCAAATTTTTAATTGGATTAGGCCTCTTAAATAGTACGAGTACTTGGCACTTCGTTATTTAAGTTTTAAAAATAAAACTATTGGTTTAATATGGTTGGAGAATTATTAGGTGCTACAAAATATTTTTCCCGTTTTCATTTAGATGACACGTTCAATTGAGAATTTGAGGTACATACTTTAAAAGAGGAGAGAGAATGTTAAAGCAAGTGGGTAAATTATGTGCTTTAGCTTATTTAATCTGCAATTTCTATCTTACTCCTAGAGTACCATGCACAAGGTATTCTAGGTTTATAAAATTCATGTTATTTTAATGTGAACTTTGTATTATTTCAATCTATATATATGTTATTTTTAAATAAGTAATATGTTATTTTTAAATAAGTAATATGTTATATATACATGCATATGACTATGAAGTAATTCTCTTACTCTACTTTGATTAGAAATTCATCGCCCTTTTTCTCGGTCATCTTCCTCCCACTCTCTCTTTCTCTCTCTTCCTCTCTGCTACTCCAACTCAAAATTAAACACACTTTCTCTCTCCTCTTTTCTTCTTCCAATTTTCTGGGTTTCCCAGAAATCAACTTCCCACACACACTCTCTCTCTTCCTCTCAGCTACTCCAACTCAAAATCAAACACACGTTCTCTCTCCTCTTTTCTTCTTTCAATTTTCTGGGTTTTCCAGAAATAAATGGATTCGAAGCCATTTAAGGGTTCAAATGTGTTCATGTTCAAAAATTTAGTACCACCTGAAGTGTTCGATTCTCTTCCTGATGTCCTAAAACTCAACGCTGTTAATGTTATTTTGATGTGAACTTATTATTTCAATTTTTATATATGCTATTTTTAAATAAGTGGACATGTTATTTTATGTAAAACAACATGAGTTGAGCTTGAAGTAAATCAGTAAATAACATATTATTTTAGCAAAATAACTCAAGACTTAAGCAAAATAACATAAAATTTAAACAAAATAATTCAAGCATATATATTGGGTTTGGAGTACCATGATCCACAGTACTCCAGGAGTATATAATACCACCTCGACTATAAGAGCATTACCCCTATATTTTTAGGCTTAGATGAATTTATAAAATCCTTTTTTAGGCGGGTGGGCAAT